CTCCTCCAGTGTTTCCTATGTCAGCTCCCGAGTAGCTGGGATTATTACAAGAATGAACACCATGGCCCAGCTAATTTTGTATTTTTAGTAGAGACGGGGTTTCCCATGTTGGCCAGGCTGGTCTGACCTCAAGTGATCGCCTGCTTCAGGGCTTCGCAAAGTGCTGGGATTACGTAATGGCCACCGTGCCCAGCGTGAAATTATTTCTAAATATTAAAGTGGCACTGACTTAAATATGGATTCTCAGCTGGACAAGAAGTATAATTTCTAGTGTGTTTGTAGATTACTTGAGGTGTTCATTGGTGGAAGTAAAAACTGATATACAAGCTTCCGGAAGAGCTTGGTTATGTAAGATAAAGCTACAAAAGATTAATATATTTTGACCAAGTAGTTGTTTAAGGGAATCTTTTACTACCTGTTACTTAACTTTCTTTTAAATTACAGGTTATGCTGGGCGCAGTGGGCTCACGCCTGTAATCCCAGCACTTTGGGAGGGCGAGGTAGGCGGATCACAAGGTCAACAGATCAAGACATCTTGGCCAACATGGTGAAACCTGTCTCTACTAAAAATACAAAAAATTAGCTGGGCATGGTGGCAGGTGCCTTATAGTCCCAGCTACTCGGGAGGCGAGGCAGGAGAAATCTCTTGAACCCAGGAGGCGGAGCTTGCAGTGAGCTGAGATACCAGCACGCACTCCAGCCTGGGAGACAGAGCGGGAAGTCTGTCTCAAAAAAAAAAAAAAAAAAAATTACAGGTTGGACATGGTGGCTCATACCTGTAATCCTAGCAATTTGGCAGGCCAGGGCATAGTGGCAGGTATCTGTAATCCCAGCTACTGGGAAGGCTAAGGCAGGGGAATCCCCTGAACCCAGGAGGCAGAGGTTGCAGTGAGCTGAGATTGTGCCACTGCATTCCAGCTAGGGCGACAGAGCGAGACTCTGTCTCAAATAAATAAAATAAAACAATTAGCCGGCATGGTGGCACGTGCCTGTAGTCCCAGCTACTGAAGAGGGAGGATTGCTTGAGAACGGGAGGTCAAGTCTGCGGTGAGCTGTGAGACTGCGCCACTGCCTGCGCCCCAGCCCTGACTTTCGAACTGTTCTTTTTTTCTTTTTTTTTTTTTTGAGATGGAGTCTTGCTGTTGCCCAGGCTGGAGTGCAGCAGCGTGATCTCGGCTGACTGCAAGCTCTGCCTCCTGGGTTCATGCCATTCTCCTGCCTCAGCCTCCCAAGTAGCTGGGACTACAGGCGCCTGCCACCATGCCCAGCTACTTTTTTGTATTTTTAGTAGAGATGGGGTTTCACCGTGTTAGCCAGGATGGTCTCGATCTCCTGATTTCGTGATCCTCCTACCTCGGCCTCCCAAAGTGCTGGGATTACAGGTGTGAGCCAACGCGACCGGCCCAAATTGTTCTGCTTTCTGCATTTGGGAGGCTATTTTCCTAGTCTTTCTATCCACTCTCACATTTTATTTCATCTTCAGCAATACACCCCTACTAAAGTTTTCTAATAAACACATTTCTAAAAAATATAAGGACCTCATTTTTGTTGAAAAAAGAAAAATGTGGCTAGACAAAAATATGGCATAATATACATAGAATGTTAACATTATATATGGGTAGCAGATTTGTTAAAGACAATTTTTATCATTTTTTGTTCTTCTATATCTTCGACAACAAATAGGTATTGCTTATTTGCTTGGTTCAGCGGATGTTAGGGGAAATCCATTATCATGCAGCTTAGAGAAAAGAGAAAAAAAAGTATTAAGAACTTATGATAAGCAACTTATTACAAAGGCTAGGCTTTGTAGTTGGTATGCTGTGAGATCTGACTAGCAGGCATGACCAAAAAAATCATTACTTTACCTTTATGACCCCTCCTAGTTTAGCATCAGCTACTGCCAGAGGTTCATGGGCTTCTTTTACTATTTTCTTCAGAACTTTCTTCAGCTGCTTATTGATTTTGCCCTCCATCAGAGCTGTGAATGCTTTTCAGGAAAAAGAAAAACAAAAGCATTAACTCTCAAATTTTTAACTTTGAGACCTTGTCCTATTTGACATTTAAAAAAATAAAATAGACCTTTCAAAGGGCTTGAATTTAATGTTACTTCTGAAATGAAACGATACATGTTTTATAAGTTACAAATTTCACAATTTCATTTGATCTTCCCACCCTCATTTTTGCTACAGAGTCAGGGGTAAAATCAGGTACAGAGTTTCTTCCCTCTCACAAGAATCTTCTCATGAACTCAAGAGAGAATCATGAAATATCAGAAACAATCTTTTTGGGAAGACAAAATAGATTCACTTTCCTTTGTCATTTCAAATAGACCGTCCTGAAACACCCTAAAATCACATCAAAACTAGTAAAAATGAGTGTAATCATTTTCAAAATTCTGCCACAACATAAGCGTGTTTGAGTGAAAGCCTTACCTTTGCTGTATCTCTGCTTGTACACCTCCAGCAATGTAAAACTTTGTAGCAAAGGCTACCTATTCTATTTTGAGACCGCTAGTATTTCTGGGAAGTTCTAAATCGGCTACTTTATAATACTCATCCTTCCTTAGACCTTTATTCCCATTTTCTGGACCCACATGAACTAATACCTCTTCGGGTATTTATCTGACATTTGACTGAGATAAAAGTATGCTTGGGTTACCCAGGCAGGGTGGCATGTACCACCAGCCTGGCCAACATGACAAAACCCTCTCTTTACTAAAAATACAAAAATTAGCTGGCCCTGGTGGCTCATGCCTATAATCCTAGTTATTCGGGAGGCTGAGGTAGAAGAATCACTTGAACCCAGGAGGTGGAGGTTGCAGTGATATCGTGACATTGCACTCCAGCCTGGGAGACAAGAGCAAAACTCCATCTCAAAAAAAGAGAAAAAAAGAAAAATGCTTGGAAGGAAGGAAGGAAGTCAACAATTTCCAAGGTAAGGCACTTTGCACTTAATAAGTAAGGTCTTGCTCTTCCCTCCAGATTGTATATCCATTTGAATTATGATCAAATGGATAATCCCAGCACTTTGGGAGGCTAAGGTGAGCAGATCACGACGTCAGGAGATGAGACCATCCTAGGCAACATGGTGAAACCCCGTCTCTACTACTAAAAATACAAAAATTAGGTGGGCATGGTGGCATGCACCTGTAATCCCAGCTACACGGGAGGCAGAGATTGCAGTGAGCTGGGATTGCACCACTGCACTCCAGCCGAGGATCAGTCTCAAAAAAAAAAAAAAGACTTGCAAGTTGAAAACACAATCAAGAATAAAAATAAACCATTTCATGTAAATAGCATATATGAATGTCTGAAACCAATACAACTTCAATGTCATACCCCAACAGACCCAATTTCTTTCTTTCTTTTTTTTTTTAGATGGAGTCTCGCTCTGCCACCCAGGCTGGAGTACAGTGGTGCGATCTCAGCTCACTGCAAACTCCGCCTCCCAGGTTCATGTCATTCTGCTTCAGCCTCCCAAGTAGCTGGGACTACAGGCACCCACCACCACGCCTGGCTACGTTTTTGTATTTTTTTTTTCTTTTTTTTTTTTTAGTAGACACGGGGTTTCACTGTTAGCCAGGACGGTCTCGATCTCCTGACCTCGTGATCCACCCGCCTCGGCCTCCCAAAGTGCTGGGATTACAGGAGTGAGCCACCGCGCCCGGCCCAGACCCTATTTCTTTATTTAAAAAAAAAACAAAACTGATGGCCAGGAATACTTGCTCGTGCTTGTAATCCCAGCACTTTGGGAGGCCAAGGCAGGTGGATCACCTGAGGTCAGGAGTTCGAGACCAGCCTGGCCAACAGGCGAAACCCTGTCTCTACTGAAAAATATAAAAATTAGCTGGATATGGTGGTACCACCTGTAATCCCTGCTACTTAGGAGGCTGAACCCAGCCTCCTGGGAGAATTGCTTGATCTTAGGAGGTGGAGACTGCAGTAAGCCAAGATCGTGCTACTGCACTCCAGCCTGGGTGACATAAAGAACAAGACTCTGTCTCCAAAAAGAAAAATTTGAGAGGGAGTCTCGCTATACTGCCAAGGCTGATCTCAAATTCCTGCCCATCTTAGCCCCTCAAAATGTTGGGATTACAGGCGTTAGCCACTGCGCCAGGTCTCATCAAACTCTAAGGCTATGAGGTTTAAAATGTACACTGTGACATTAACAGTCATTTAGTTGTAGTTCTGTCATGTCAAAACTGCCTCGTAACAGGCAGTGAGAAGTGAATTCTCAAAAAAGGATTCTGCTCTCTTAATTAGCTGATGTTCATTTAACTTTCTGGTGAAAACAGATAGGAAAAGGCACTGTAAATGTTTCTATGACAGCACTCCTGACAAAATTCACTATTTTCATTCATTTTCCCCAAAGTATTTATTTATAAACCTTATATAGGAATTTGACAGTACAGAACAGTCTCTGCCCTCATGGAGCTTAGACTGGGAGGGGAGGGGGGAGTCTGACTTTAAATTCTCAACTACTATGGCATTTTGTCCATTTACTGTACATTACTTAATTTTACGTTATTTTTCAGACAGAGTGTCGCTCTGTTGCCCAGGCTGGAGGGCAGTGGCGCAATCTTGGCTCACTGCTACCTCCGCCTCCTGGGTTCAAGTGATTCTCCTGCCTCAGCATCCCGAGTAGCTGAGACTATAGGTGTCTGCCACCACACCTAGCTAATTTTTGTAATTTTAGTAGAGACGAGGTTTCACCATGTTGGCCAGGCTGGTCTCGAACTCCTGACCTCAGGTGATCCGCCTGTCTCGGCCTCCCAAAGTGCTGGGATTACAGGCGTGAGCCACTGTGCCTAGCCTTATTGTACATTACTTTAAATAATACAAAGAAGCTAGGTAAAGGAATCTAGAAATACTGCTCAAATTTCAAGTTTTATTATCTGTAACATAGAGGTGATGGTTATCTTCCTCACAGGATTCAAGAATTAAATAACAATTATGAAATCATAAACATAAATTTGACAATCAGTATGTGCTCAATATATTAGGTATTAATAGTAAAAACCTGCTTGTTTGGGCAAAAGCTTGGCTTGTCCATTTAATACAGTTTAATAAGGACTGGCCAGAAATATCCCAAGCAGATTAAAGATCATATGCGGCCGGGCACGGTGGCTCAAGCCTGTAATCCCAGCACTTTGGGAGGCCGAGACGGGCGGATCACGAGGTCAGGAGATCGAGACCATCCTGGCTAACACGGTGAAACCCTGTCTCTACTAAAAAATACAAAAAACTAGCCGGGCAAAGTGGCGGGTGCCTGTAGTCCCAGCTACTCGGGAGGCTGAGGCAGGAGAATGGCGTGAACCCGAGTGGAGGAGCTTGCAGTGAGCTGAGATCCGGCCACTGCGCTCCAGCCTGGGTGACAGAGCAAGACTCCGTCTCAAAAAAAAAAAAAAAAAAGATCATATGCAAAAAAGAATTCAGAAGACACTCCTTGAGATCAGGACTGCAGCACACTACATCTCCACTAGGAACTGTTCATATCCCAGTGTGTGTCAACAACACCCCCTAGAGTTGGAATGCAGGTAACACAATCTTGCTTGGAATTTTACCAAACTTTTACCCATACTTACAAGCTGTGATGAACACGCTATCTTTTAAAAAATTCTCCCAGTTAATATTACCACAGTTGTTCTTTATGGCTGTATATAACTCTAATTACTGAAGGGTTGGTGAAGCTGAAGAACTATGTTTATAAAACAAAGAAACTGGCCCTATGGGTCTTCCTTCAGTTTACTCCTCTGCCAAGGTTAGGGTGGTCTGTTATGTTCCAGAATGTTTAGTTGGATTCCCAATTTTCGAACAAAAACTGTACCTTTCTCCTGTGGTTATTTAACACAATTTTTTGCATCTGTCATATTCTTGCCCAGCTTTAAGCCATATTCTTCCTCACAGTCCTTCATTTTCAAACTACACTGCCAAAGAGTTGGCTGATTTGTGATACAGAATTTAGGCAGTTGAAAATTCAATGATTTGGGCTTTATATCTGCTCTTCCTGTTTTCCCCAACACTTAAAAAAACAAAACTGTAAGACCTACCGCAGTCAATTATAGTAAATAAACCCTACCACTCTGTTGTCCCATGATGAAATCTAGTTGAAGAGTATGAGTCATCCATTCTTCTAAATCTTTTAAAAATAACACCTCTGGGCCAGGCACGGTGGCTCACGCCTGTAATCCCAGCACTTTGGGAGGCCGAGACGGGCGGATCACAAGGTCAGGAGATCGAGACCATCCTGGCTAACACGGTGAACCCCGTCTCTACCTAAAGTCAAAAAACTAGCTGGGCGAGGTGGCGCGGCGCCTGTAGTCCCAGCTACTCGGGAGAGGCTAGGCAGGAGAATGGCGTAAACCCAGGAGGCGGAACTTGTAGTGAGCCGAGTTCGCCGCCACTGGCACTCCAGCCTGGGCGACAGACGCAAAGACCTCCGTCTCAACAAAAAAAACAAGAAAAAAAAAAAAAAAAAAAAAAAAAAAAACACCTCTGTCAGTTTCCGGATAAATCTGAATATTGATATGCTTTTTTTGAACTAAAAATCTATAAGCCAAGAAGAGCTTTTTAAATTATTTTTTCAACTGTGAATCCTGGCTGCTCTCAAGATTACAACTCTACCCTTGATTTAAAATGAGCAGACAGCTGTGTACTTGACCACATTACCTTGGTCCCTTGTAGAACACCTTTTACTGAATTGTGCTTCAGCATTATGTTGCTGGTTTCCACAGGGAGATCAACTTAACCACTTCTCACCTCTCCTCACACATGGGGAAAATCAGCCCTACGGTGAAAAAAGCTAACTCAATGTTGTCTCAGTGGTAGTGACGAATGAGTCAGATCACTTAAATTCAGTTCCAGTAAGAATGCATCATTGACAACATTGAATAAGGTTAACACAGGCAACTGAAGCAAACAACCTTTTAACAAGAAAAGCAAGCGGCTAAGACTTAATTTTTTCAAAGAAGCAACCTTCTAGTTTTTTACTTTACCTGCTAATGCTTCTGCTGTATCCTGAAATTTCTCAAAATGTTTTAGCTTTACTCTAGAATTAAAAAAAAGAGAGAGAAGCATGTTATTGGGGGTGGGGGACAGTGCATTGATTCAAAAGCCACATAACTTGGAAAGAAGTGCTTGACTGTTTCCAAAGCACACACCAATAAAACATGCCTATCATTGTGTGTCAGGGTGTGAAGTTAGATATTCTTCATAAAATTACTAGTTTTTCTAAATGTTAGACTAGTAATGCTTGGATTATTAAAAGAAAGTTGTAGGCTTTGAAGGAAACTTTGGCCAACTGTAAAGATGTTGAAGCTTTAATACAAACTCCTGTTGCATAAAGCCGTACAGAGATGACTTTATTATACAGCATAGAACTGACTCAAGAAAAAGTATGTGGGTCCTTTTTAAGAATCTCATGATATTCATTTGTCTATCCTGTACAAATGCCATTAAAAAAATAACTTATTGTCAGATCTCATTCTTGTTACATCCTACCCTTTATGTTTTTGAGACAGGGACTCCCTTCACTGTCACCCAGGCTGGAATACAATGGTGCAATCACAGCTCACCGCAGCCCTGACTTCCCAGGCTCAAAGGATCTTCCAGCCTCAGTCTCCCAAGTAGCTAGGACTATAGTGTGCACCACCACGCCCGGTTAATTTTTGGTTTTGGTAGAGTTCCCTATGTTGCCCAGGCTGGTCTTGAACTCCTGGGCTCAACTGATTCACCTGCCTTGGCCTCCCAAAATGCTGGAATTACAGGAGTGAGCCATCACGCCCGGCCTCAGGGCAGTATTTTATGCAGAAAGAAACATATAGTTGATTCATTGTTGTCTCAGTGGTAGTGACGAATATTGAGTCAGATCACTTAGATTCAGTTCCAACAAGACTACATCATTGACAGCAATGAATCAGATTAACCCAACAAAGCATATAACCCTTTAAGAAGGAAAACTAGTCTTCTATTTGCCTAAAACACAGTATCATCTTTTTTTTTTTTTTTTTTTTTTGAGACAGGGTCTCACTCTGCCGCCCAGACTGGAGTGCAGTGGCGCAATTTTGGCTCACTGCAACTTCCACCTCCCAGGCTCAAGGGATTTTCCTGCCTCAGCTTCCTCCGAGTACTTGGGATTACAGGCATGCGCCACCATGCCTGGCTAATTTTGTATTTTTAGGAGAGATGGGATTTCACCATGTTGGCCAGGCTGGTCTCGAGCTCCTGACCTCAAATGATCCACCCACCTTGGCCTCCCAAAGTACTAGGATTACAGATGTGAGCCACCGCGCCCAGCAACAGTGTCATCTTAAGCAAGGTTTTCTTACCTCGTAAAGGAACATGCTAGTGTGGTCCCTTAAATACACATAAAAATACGAAGATTTAGGCCGGATGCGGTGGCTCATGCCTGTAATCCCAGCACTTTGGGAGACCAAGGTTGGCAGATCACCTGAGGTCAGGAGTTTGAGACCTGCCTGACCAACATGGCAAAACTCTGTCTCTACTAAAAACACAAAAATTAGCTGGGCGTGGTGGTGAGCACCTGTAATCCCAACTACCTGGTGGGCTGAGGCAGAAGAATAGCTTGAACCCAGGAGGCAGAGGTTGCAGCGAGCAGAGATCGCGCCACTGCACTCCAGCCTGGGAGACAGAGCAAGACTGTCTCAAAAAACAAACAAACAAACAAAAAACAAAGATTTAAGATCTACACCAAGAATGAATCTTCCATGAAATTGTGATGAAGGAAAAAGAAGTTCATGCTGGTTTTGCTGTTGCACCTCAAAAAGCAGGTTACAACCCCTGTGTGTGGTAAGTGTTTAGTTAAGATAGAAAAGGTATTACATTTGTGTGTGGAAGACATGAAGACAAATGTGTTCCTGACAGCAATCACATTTGGTACTATCCGAGGTCTAAAGTAACCACTGGGTTTTCTGGAACATAATCCCTGGGGTAAGGGAGGGACTACTGCCTCTAAATTAATTGAGATGGCCTATACTCCAAATAAAATATTTGCAATAATTAGGTTCATACCAAAATTATTCCTGAAACAGATTTCAAAACAGAAAACTACGAATGTAACATTATATAAATCAGGAAAAAATGTAAAAAATAAAACAAGCTCTAAATGTTAACTGCTAAATTACTGATTTCAAGATTACTTACATTTTGTTTGCTTTCTCTGGAGTTTCAAATTCTTTCCATAAACTATCAACCTCTTGAAGTTTCTTCTCATTTAGAACCTATAATAAAATGTTTAGTTTTCTTTAAATGGTACAGGTTAGGCATACACAGCTGCGTTCTTCAAGTACAATTTTACATGTAAAATGAGGGTGGTAGAAGCTATTTCTTTCACTAAGATAATGAACTAGTTTTCCTACCATGTATATATTTTTGGTCAAATTACTAGTTCGAATTGCCCATTTAACAGCTGAATGGAATTCAGATCTAGTCCAGTCAGATGTAGTACAGCGGCTATTCACAGTCTAGGATCTACCTGGCCTCAAGTGATATCCCTGCCCCAGCCTTGGACCATAGCTGGAGCTACAGGTCCTGGGGGGTAGGGCAGGGAACCTACCTTTCTTTTTATTTTTTTGAGATGGAGTCTCACTCTGTAGCCCAGACTGGAGTGCAGTGGAGCAATCCTGGCTCACTGCAACCTTCACCTCCTGGGTTCATGAGATTTTAGGGCCTCAGCCTCCTGAGTAGCTGGGATTATAGCCGTGCACCACTGCACCTGGTTGAGAACCTTTCTTTTAAAAGAGCCATTAATCCCTTTACAATAAAGTACTGTAATAATTAAAAACTTTTATTTGTGCCAGGTGCGGTGGCTCACACCTGTAACCCCAGCACTTTGGGAGGCGGAGGCAGGCAGATCACCTGAGGTCATGAGTCCGAGACCAGCCTGACGAACACGGAGAAACCCCGTCTCTACAAAAAAAGAAAATACAAAATTAGCTGGGCGTGCTGGCACATGCCTGTAATCCTAGCTACTCGGGAGGCTGAGGGAGGGGAACTGCTGGAACCCAGAGGCGGAGGTTGCAGTGAGCCGAGATTGTGTGACTGCACTCCAGCCTGGACAACAAGAGCAAAAAACTCCATCTCAAACAAACAAACAAAAAAAACCTTTTATTGCCTACTTTCAATAGATATTCATAATTTACTGCTATGATCATCCTAAATGAAAGTATTATGGATTTCTCTAAAACTATCACCAATTGTGAGACACATCTAGATGTGTGAAATTTTTTTAAATGTAGGGTAATCAACAAAATACTCATCAACATTCAGGTATATATTCTCCAAGACTTTGAATCTCTGTGCAATGCGTGTTCATGCATACTTTTAGGAATCACATTAAATGTTGTTTTTTTTTTTGAGGTGGGGTCTAGCTCTGTCACCCAGACTGGAGTGTAGTGGTGCAATCTTGGGTCACTGCAACCCCGCCTCCTGGGATCAAGCGATTCTCCTGCCTCAGCCTCCCGAATAGCTGGGATTACAGGCGTGCACCACAACACCCAACTAGTTTTTGTATTTTTAGTAGAGACTATGTTTCGCCAAGTTGGCCAGGCTGGTCTTGAGTTACCGACATCAGACGATCCACCTACCTCAGCTTCCCAAAGAGCTGGGATTACAGGCGTGAGCCACCACACCCAGCCCCCTCGTATTGTTCTGAAGCAAGACCTAGACATTTAATTTTACCTGTTAATATTTCAGTTTGTATCTATAAAATATAAAGACTTGTTTTAAAGCTACTATTATTGTAACAACAATGCTAAAGATTGCGATGGTAATAGTTGCATACTATTTCTACTTAGAAATGGGAATTATTCTATCTTAACTTAAAATGATAAAACTTAAAATGGATTTTTGTATACAAATATTTATCATTACCCTGGCTGAAAAGAAATGATTAAAAATTTGAGACAAATAAAAAAATTTTGAGACAAATGTAAAACAGAAAATGTAGCAATATCTCTGAGTTTCTTATTTAGATTGTCTTTATTAGCAATGTTTTCAAGATGTTGTTGCACAGTTGGGAACACAGTGGTTTTGTCATAGTAATGGTTTTGGCTGTCATAACATAGTCTTTGAAAACCTTTGTGTGCTCATGAATTGCCTTGATTTTATTACATCTCCTTTGTTATTTTAACTTCAGTTTAAGAATGGTGATGGTATCTTTTATTTTATTTATTTATTTATTTATTGAGACAGAGTCTCCCTCTGTTGCCCAAGCTGGAGCGCAGTGGCAGGATCTCAGCTCACTGCAAGGTCTGCCTCCCGGGTTCACGTCATTCTCCTGCCTCAGCCTCCCGAGTAGCTGGGACTACAGGCGCCCACACCACGCCTGGCTAATTTTTTGTATTTTTAGTAGAGACGGGGTTTCACCATGTTAGCCAGGATGGTCTCTATCTCCTGACCTCGTGATCCACCCGCCTTGGCCTCCCAAAGTGCTGGGATTACAGGCATGAGCCACCGCACCAGGCCGACAGTATCTTTTAAATATGGCAATTTTGTTACCCAAATGTTATCTTCAAATATACTTGCTTTTCAGCTAGAAAAAAATGTGAATTTTACTTATGAGTCATATCCCCTAGTTGATACATACCCTCTTAAAAATAGTGAACTTCAGTTACGGTTAGCTGCATTCTCTGAACAATTTCAAAAAATTTTAATCAATGTTTTCAGTATAGTCATGAGGCTTGGTGAGATGTCTTTGGATTCTAAAGCTTCATGATATATAAAGGTAGAACTATTAGTTTATTAATTGTTAATACCAACTCTAGGCTTTGTCGTTGTTTACTGCTTTGTGTGACTAAGTTTTTCTAGTTTGGGTTATTTTTACCAACATATCTAATTCAACCATGTGTGATTAAATTTATACATCAGAACAAATCCCTAAAATCATCTTGTCACACTCATCTAAGTTTTATACAACTTGCAATTTTGTTTCTTTTACTGAAAATACATAAGCAGACTAGAACTGCGTGTTAATGTGTAGATGTGCTATATTATGGACTTGATAAATAATGCTTATTAGCAAGGTATAGTTTTATATTTACTAGCTGTGTTGTTTTTCCAGAGACAGGGTCTCGCTTTGTTGTTCAGGCTGCAGTGCAGTGGTGTGGTCCTATGTCACTGCAGCCTCAAACTCCTGGCCTCAAGCGATTCTTCTGCCTCGGCCTCCCAAGTAGCTAGGACTAAAGGCGCACACTGCCACACCTAGCTATTTAAAAAATATTTTTGTAGAGACAGGGGCTTGCTTTATTGCCCAGGCTGATCTCTAACTTCTGGACTCAAGTGATCCTCTTGCCTTGGTTTTTCAAAGTGCTGGGAGTACAGGCAGGAACCATGGTGCCTGACCCAGCTGGTTTTTAAATAAAAATATATGCATAATATCTGTGCATACTATATTTCACCAAATTTAATATGCTATTCTTTTTTTTTGAGACAGAGTCTTGCTCTGTTGGCTAGGCTGGAGCACAGTGGCATGATCTCGGCTCACGACAACCTCCACTTCCCTGGTTCAAGCAATTCTCCTGCCTCAGCCTCCCAAGTAGCTGGGATTACAGGCACACGCTGCCATGCCTGGCTAACTTATTTATTTATTTATTTTGTATTTGAGTAGAGACAGGGTTTCACCCTGTTGCCCAGGCTGGTCTCCAACTCCTGAGGTCTGGCAATCTTCCCGCCTCAGCCTCCCAAAGTGCTGGGATTACAGGCGTGAGCCACCACACCCGGCTTATGCTATTCTTTTACACTCCCAATTGACCTGTCATCAATTTTAAGACATCCCAATTTTAGGGATGTTAAATACGGGGGTTGTGCATTTCAGGATTAATCCCATCCTATCCAATACTTTGGCAGTTGACACAGAATATTGGTGAGGCTGTATGGAATTAATAATTTTAATCACTTTTTTTTTTTGAGACAGTGTCTTGCCCTGTCACCCAGGCTGGAGTGCAGAGGCGCAGTCTTCTCACCACAACCTCCACCTCCCTGGTTCAAGCGATTCTCCCGCCTCAGCTGGGACTACAGATGCGTGCCACCATGCCTGGCTAATTTTTGTATTTTTAGTAGAGATGGGGTTTCACTATGTTGGCCAGGCTGGTCTCAAACTCCTGATCTCATGATCTGCCCACCTCAGCCTTCCAAAGTATTGGGATTACAGGTATGAGCCACCATGCACAGCTCCTAATTTTCACTTTTAATTGATTGCTTGAGACTTTGTGTGGTTTTCGTTTTGTTTCCTTTTTTTTTTGAGATGAGGTCTCACTCTATTGCCCAATCACGGCTCACTGCAGCCATGATCTCCCTCCCACCTCAGCCTCCTGCAGTAGCTGGCACTACAGGCAAGCACCACTGTGCCCAGCTAATTTTTTTCCCACCATGTTGCCCAGGCTGCAGTGCAGTCTCTTGCCTCACCTCCCAAAGTGTTAGGGTGACAGGCATGAGCCACTGCACCCAACCTCTATATTTGTAAATACATGATGCTAACTTTTACTTCCCCAGACAATATGAGCAAGTAATGTTTTATGAAACTTGTTTGAATACAGGATAAAACTGATAATTACTTTAAAATGTGCACGGCTCAAAAAGAAACAAATCCATACACGCAACAAGAGTGAAAAAGCTCTTGGGTTAGCTTCAGAAGCACTAGGCTAAGTGAAAAAAGCCACACACAAAAGACTAAAATACTACTCCATTTACATGAAACTTCCAGAAAAAATTATGCAAAGAAAGCTGATCAGTGGTTGTCTAGAGCAGGACTAACTTGAAAATGGGCATAACTTTTTGCAACAAAGTGTACTATAAAACTGGACTGCAACTAAAACCTACAGGCGAGTTATACAGTACGTAAAGTACCCCTAATAAAGTTAGAAAAAATATATTGCTCAGTGCCTAGGTTTTATACAGACATTTGGTATATAAACCAAAAATCTTTCTCCAAACCTTGAGAAAACGAAGTGACAAAAAATGCTATGCTACACAGCTACACTGTACAATATAACCATTAAAATTCAAGTAAGTTAAAATGCACTGCCTCAGTCCTATCAGTTATATCTCATGTGAAATAGTTATATGTACTAATGGCTACCACATGAGGAGCAGCCGAAGAAAGTCTGGTATGAGCAAGACTAACATCTTATGCTGTGTGCCACGTGACACAAGGACACAGGTATAATTTTTTTTTTTTTTTTTTTTTTGAGATGGAGTCTTGCCTTGTCGCCCAGGCTGCAGTGCAGTGGTGCGACCTCAGCTCACTGCAACCTCTGCCTCCCAGGTTCAACTGATTCTCCTGCCTCATCCTTCTGAGTAGCTGGGATTACAGGTGTGAGCCACTGCACTCGGCCACAGGTTGAATTTTTATAATATCCTAGAATTAATCACAAAAGTTGCTTTACACAATGTCTTTATATTAATATATATACATATATATAACCCTGTTAATGAACAATAAAGTTTTGAAGTGTTTTCCTTTCTAATCGCTCTAAATACGGAAGTGGGCAGAACACTGTACCTCATGCCTGTAATCCCAGCACCTTGAGGCCAGGAGTTTGAGACCAGCCTAGGCAACATAGGGAGACTCTGTCTCTAAAAAAAAAAAAAAAAATTTTAGGCGGACCATTGATAAGCCAATTCCTTCCTACCATGGGAGACAACCAGTGCACTGTGCACAGTTGCTCCTCTTAACATCCCGTTCAGGACAGCATATTGTATCAATTAACGGTGAAATTCGTCGACAGACACTGACAGACCACATTGGCTAAGAGAATTTGGAGCTATGCAGAACTCTACATGAGATTTTAGATAAGATTCCAAAAAGCTGGAAAAAAGTAAAATTGATATGTTTCGTAGCTCTAAAGGGGACTAAGTAACTTAAAATCCTTAAAACTACTAACACTGCAATTACAGATAACTCCAATTAAGGTAAAAACAAGCAAAACTGCCTTTTCGGTTTTAATGATTTTATTGGTTTTCTTAAAAATAAGTATTTGACGTATCAAATGCAAACTGCGTATTTTCAAATGTCAGAAGTGAAATATGGAGAACTCCGCACCCATCTAGACCTTCTGCATCCACACCACAAATGGTTTTTTTTGGTTCACAGCTAAAATTGTATTGCATTTATTTTTATCTAGCGTTTTTTGCTTTCTACCAACACATATATACGTAGAATATACATAAAACTTTATTTTTCATTGCTATATTCGCAGAGCTCAAAAGAGTGCACGGCACAAAAGGCACTCAATCTCACTCATTCTTACTGACATCTCAACAGCATCTTGCGATACGAATGTCTTACCGTTCAACCATTTCAGTGCTGACGAACTTGTCAAACTCTCCCCATGAAAACAACCAAATCTCAAATTGACATCACCAGCCCAGATTGTTTCCCCTAAGGTTCGAATTTGAAATACTGAACTGCCCGATCTACACAACTGCATTATCAGGTCTAATAAACATTGCAAGCTTTGCACAGCCCAAACCGGAAATCTTTCGTCCTTCCCCCGCAAGAAACTTTCTTAACATCTTATTTAAACCAAAACTCCAAATTCAATCTATCAGCCAAACCTTTCTGTTCTACCTTCAAAATTTCTATCGATATTTGTTTATCTCCATACCAGGCAATTTCATCTTGTCTAAATGAATGCAAAAGTATTCTTGCCGCCTTTCTCACCTCCTCGAGTCTAATCTCCACATAGCAGAGTAACCGTATTAAGACCAATTAGCAGGTCATTCCTTTGCTTAAATCCTTTCGACCGGCAGAGCACGGTGGCTCACGCCTGTAATCCCAGCACTTTGGAGGCCGAGGCAGTTGGATCACTTGAGGTCAGGAGTTCAAGACCAGCCTGGCCAACATGGTGAAACCCTGTCTCTACTAAAAGACAAACAAACAAACAAACAAACAAAGCAACTAGCCAGGCGTGGTGGTGGATGCCTGTAATCCCAGCTACTCGGGAGGCTAAGGCAGGAGAATGGCTTGAACCCGGGAGACGGAGGTTGCTGTGAGCCAAGATTGCGCCACTGCACTCCAGCATGGGCAACAAGAGCGAAACTCCATCTCAAAAAACAAAACAAAACAACAACAAAAAAAAACCTTTCGATCATTCCTCAAAACATCTAGAAGAAAATCCGAATTTCCTATAACTATACTGTTAAATTCTAACACGCCTCCTGCCCACCTCTTCAACGGAGGAAATAAAATCCTTTAACGCAGAACGGGTCTCCCCAAACGGCGGGGCCACGTGTTACCCGTAATAGGGCTCTCAGATGTAAAGGCCTTCTCCCTCCTCCCAGAGCCCGGGCCATAACAGGCACCCACGCTACCCTGAGTAGTTCTGTGCTTAAGTCTTTCCCTCTCCTCGTCTGTCCAGCACCCGCCTTCCCCCTTTAACGGCTCGCTCTCCCACCTACCTTAAAGATGGCGTAGCCCACAGATGTTTCAAACAGCACCAACATGGTGAGGCCGGGTCAGGGCGCCGCACGGCCCACCACGAGCTGTGGACTCAGTTCAAAAACACCGACTACACGGTCCCAAAAAGTCCCCTAAGCCGCGGCGGGCAAAGCACAAACGTGCTAGCCGTCCCGCACAGAATCAGAACACGTTCCCTAAGCCCTCCACGCTGTACTGGGACTAGAACGCAAGAACGCGCTTCTCCTTCTCTAAGGATTCTGGGATAGCGACGTCACTTCCGACAGAAGACTGCCGCAGAGATTGCCGTCACTTCCAGAATGTTCCCGCCACACGGGGCTGGGTCGGGAGGAGAAAGTTTGTATCGTGGGATCTAAGGACTGAACGGAGCCTTTGCGCCTTTTTTTCTTTTTTCTTTTCTTTTTGAGACGGAGTCTCGCTGTGTTGCACAGGCTGGAGTGCAGTGGTGTGATCTCGGCTTACTGCACCCTCCGCCTCCCGGGTTCAAGCAATTTTCCTGCCTCAGCCTCCGGAGTAGCTGCGACTAGAGTCACGCACCACCATGCCCAGCTAATTTTTGTATTTTTAGTAGAGACAGGGTTTCAGCATGTTGGCCAGAATAGTCTCGATCTCTTGACCTCCTAATACGCCCACCTCGCCTCCCAAAGTGCTGGAATTACAAGTGTGACCCACCGCGCCCAGCCTTTTTTTTTTTTTCTGTTTTGAGACAGCCTTGCTGTCGCCCAAGCTGGAGTGCAGTGCCACCATCACGACTCACTGCAACCTCCAACTCCCAGGCTCAAGCGGTCCTCTCACCTCAACCTCTCGAGCAGCTGGGACTACAGGCCTGTGCCACCGCACCCAGCTAATTTTTTATAGAGACAGGGTTTCGCTATGTTGCCCAGTTTGGTCTCGGACTCTTGACCTAAAGCGATCCTCCCACCTCGGCCTCCCAAAGTGCTGGGTTGCAGGCGTGAGCCACCCCCAGAGATTTAAAGGGGAAAAATTTCACATTATTATTTTGTTAACCCTCTATGAATTGTATGTTTACTTTGAGAGAAGCGTGGAGCTGTCTCGGTGCCTGTCTGTCTCAGGCATCTAGAATTTGAAATGCCAGCTATTGCCCTTAGACTTTATCTCCTTTCAAGCCCTTCCTTGAGGCGAAGGCCTCAGAATGACACCATTACTGTCACTATATTTGTGAGCATTCCTGGCCATTCTGTCTGGCCAAATTAATTATTAGCACAGTTTTCTCTCAATGTTCTCCCATGTTTGCTGCATTTGTTAAAATGACCCAAGGGGCCGGGCGCGGTGGCTCAAGCCTGTAATCCCAGCACTTTGGGAGGCCGAGGCGGGTGGATCACGAGGTCAGGAGATCGAGACCATCCTGGCTAACATGGTGAAACCCCGTCTCTACTAAAAATACAAAAAAAAAACTAGCCGGGCGTGGTGGCGGGCGCCTGTAGTCCCAGCTACTCGGGAGGCTGAGGCAGGAGAATGGCGTGAAATAAATAAAAATAAAAATAAAATGACCCAAGGGTGTGAATTTAGACTTTTTTCTTGGTTTTTTTTTTTTTTTTTTTTTTTTTTTTTTTGAGATGGAGTTTCACTCTTGCTGCCCAGGCTGGAGTGCAATGGCACGATCTCGCTTCACTGCAACCTCCGCCTCCCGGGTTCAAGCGATTCTCCTGCCTCAGCCTCCTGAGTAGTTGGGATTACAGGTATGCGCCACCTTGCCTGGCTAATTTTGTATTTTTAGTAGAGATAGGGTTTCTCGAGGTTAGTCAGGCTGGTCTCAAACTCCCGACCTCAGGTGATCCGCCCGCCTTGGCCTCCTGAAGTGCTGGGATTATGGGCATGAGCCACCGTGCGTGGCTGAATTTAAACTGTCTTCTTGGCATAGTGTTACTTGCTTTTCTGGAGGCTTTTCAGTCTCAGGGACTGGGATTAAATACCCCAGTTATTTCACAAGTCTGTCTTCCAACAGGAGTAAAATTTCCTCACTCACTTCCCAGGCCCTATATGCAGATTGCTCCTAATCATTAAATTGCAACCTGCTTGGAGAATTGCTTGAACCCGGGAGGTGGAGGGTGCAGTGAGCCAAGGTGGCACCACTGCACTCCAGCCTAGGTGACACAGCCAGAGTCCGTCTACAAAAACAAAAAGTTGCAACCTGCTCAAGATTGTGGAACATTAAATAGGTAGCAACTCTGCAACCTGAGATCAAGAGGAAAGAAAATCCTGGGTTGAATAACAGAAAGTCACAGGACAGAGGAATCTAGGGTGAATTTTTTTTTTTTTTTTTGAGACAGAGTCTCACTCTGTCGCTCAGGCTGGAGCGCGGTGTCGCGATCTCAGCTCACTGAAGCCTCCGCCTCTTGGGCTCAAGCGATTCTCCTGCTTCAGCCTCCCCAGTAGCGGGGATTACAGGCACACACCACTGTGCCCGGCTAATTTTTGTATTTTTAGTAGAGATGGGGTGTCCCCATGTTGACCAGGCTGGTCTTGAACACTTGACCTCCGGTGATCCGCCTGCCTCAGCCCCCCAAAGTGCTTGCTGGGATTACAGGCGTGAGCTACCATGCCCGGCCTAGGGTGAATTCAAGAGCATAATTGGCCGAGTGCATGGTTCACACCTACTATGATCCTGCCATTGCATTTCAGCCTGGACTACTAAGCAAGCCCCTATCTCAAAAAAAAAAAAAAAAAAAAAAAAAGCAGCATGGTTGATTGTAGTTATAGCTATAATCCAGTGTGGTCAGGGAGACAAGAGAGATGAAAATTACCTAATTGGGAGAGGGGTATGTGTCAGTGGATGAGATAGAAACACCATGTCTGTTTATAGTGTTATTTAACAGCACAGTATTTTTCTGTCTAGTCTCCTTAGCAGAAGTGACATCTGCTAGAGAATTGAGTATACTTTACATGTATTTGTGTCTGTATAGGATGTTATGTTGTGCTACTGATGAAATAGAATCTCATTAATTCTTAAAAATTTAATGAATGAATGTCTGCAGGAAGTAAAATTCTTTTCTTTACATTTAAAGCCTTAAATCCTTTTCCCAAAAAGAAATGAAACCACTTATTCAATGAGAAATCTCTTTACCATGGTATCTCCTATAATTTGTCCTTGCACATTACCATTTACATAGTCATCTCCATATGATGCTTTAATCAGGAGTTCAGAGCTGACTCTGATTTTGAGTTTGTAACTTGGCCAAATAAAGTAATTAGAGATTTTTTCTTGCAAGGGAGAGGTAAGAGTCTTAGTACTTTGTTAAAGTACTGAGTCAAGGGGAGATAGCACAAAGAAATATAAAAAGGAGAATATAGGAGAGTACAGATGATAGAAGGGCTTACAATTTTTTTTTTTTTTTTTTTTTTTTGAGACAGAGTTTCGCTCTTGTTGCCCAGGCTGGAGTGCAATGGCATGATCTCAAGCTCACTGCAACCTCTGCCTCCTGGGTTCAAGCGATTCTCCTGTCTTAGCCTCCTGAGTAGCTGGGATTACAGACATGTGCCATCACACCCAGCTAATTTTGTATTTTTAGTAGAGATGGGGTTTCTCCATGTTGGTCAGGCTGGTCTTGAACTCCCAGGCTCAGGTGATCTGCCCCCCTTGGCCTCCCAAAGTGCTGGGATTACAGGCGTGAACAACTGTGCCCAGCCAGGGGCTTATAGTTTTACTGGTGGTTAACATGGTGAAATGACAAGGATGAGAAACATGGTTTGTGTGTCCTCTCTGTACACCCCACCTCCACCCCTGTTCCAACTAGAATATAAACTCTATAAAAGTTTGTTGCAAAATCTGCAAGTACTAGGCTAGTATCTGGCACATAGTAGAGATTCCATAAACATGACTAATAAGTAAGTAAATGAATAAATGGAATGAGTGAATAGTGGGATAATTTCAAGGTGCTGGTAGAGCCTCCAGGGACTTTTAGAAACCTATTAAGATTAGCAAAAGATATCATTTTGCTCAGACACCTTCCACGTGCCTGGTAACAAGAAGGGGATGTTCTGGATAGTGAACTTTTTTTTTTTTTTTTTTTGAGATGTAGTCTCACTCTGTTGTCCAGGCTGGAGTGCAGTGGCGCGATCTTGGCTCACTGCAAGCTCCACCTCGGATTCACGCCATTCTCCCACCTCAGCCTCCCGAGGAGCTGGGACTACAGGCGCCTGCCACCACGCCCAGCTAATTTTTTGTATTTTCTTTTTTTTTTTTTGAGACAGAATCTCGCTCTGTCGCCCAGGCTGGGGTGCAGTGGCCGGATCTCAGCTCACTGCAACCTCCGCCTCCCGGGTTTAGGCCATTCTCCTGCCTCAGCCTCCCGAGTAGCTGGGACTACAGGCGCCCGCCACCTCGCCCGGCTAGTTTTTTGTATTTTTTTAGTAGAGACGGGGTTTCACCATGTTAGCCAGGATGGTCTCGATCTCCTGACCTCGTGATCCGCCCGTCTCGGCCTCCCAAAGTGCTGGGATTACAGGCTTGAGCCACCGCGCCCAGCCTGTATTTTCAGTAGAAACGGGGTTTCACCATGTTAGGTAGGAGGGTCTCTATCTCCTGACCTCATGATCTGCCCGCCTCAGCCTCCCAAAGTGCTGGGATTACAGGTATGAGCCACTGCACCAGGCCTTGTGAACATCTTTTATATATTCAACAGATATTTGAGTGTCTACTCTGTGCCAGGCATTCTTTTTCTTTTTTTTTTTTGCGGGGGGGTGGAGTCTCACACTGTTGCCCAGGCTGGAGTGCAATGGTGGGATCTCGGCTCACTGCAACCTCCACCTCCCAGGTTCAGGAATTCTCCTGCCTCAGCCTCTTGAGTAGCTGGGACTATACAGGTGCGCACTACCACGCCCAGCTAATTTTGGCATTTTTAGTAGAGACAGGGTTTTGCCATGTTGGTCAGGCTAGTCTTGAACTCCTGACCTTGTGATCCGCCAACTTTGGCCTCCCAAAGTGTTGGGATTACAGACATGAGCCACTGCACCTGGCCTGTGCCAGGCATTCTTACAGGCACTAAGGACACAGCAGTGAAAGAAATATGTAAAAATCTCTGTACTTATTATTACTCTTATTTTCCTTCTCAGAGAAGTTAAGTAATGCAAGATCATATAATCTTCCTCATAGTTTCCTTTAGGACTACCCAGAAGATGGACATGGAAATTTTTTCTATCATACAATCACTGACCTGCCACGTACAGTGCTATATTTTCTTTCTTTCTTTTTTTTTTTTTTTTTTGAGACAG